CGGAGGGACGAAATCCGGAGGGCCGTCACCTTCCCTCCCGACATCCTACGCGATTTCACCTTCCTTTTTGTTTTGATCCGTGCTCGCGTGAGATACTTATCTCGCGGGAGCGCGTGACAGCATATAATAAAAAAAACAATTTGCGATATAAATTTATTTTACAACACGTTATCCTTGTGTATCCATGAATTATGTGAATCGTCCAATCCCAGCCATTTCACGTATATCTCATTCCCTCTTTTGCGCAAAACTTTTTCAACGAGGTACACGTCGGGATTAGCAACGCGATGCAGTTTGTATTCATAGAATCTTTCGGCTATGGGTTTTCCGCGAGAATCCTCCAAAAGATACTTTGCGAGATTAGTTTTCTGCATCTTGATGATTTTAAACACTTCCGTGGTCCAGTTTGGCGTATAACTCTTGTCAAAAATTGTATTGAATTTACTGACGCGTATCGAGTCACCCACTTTGAATCGCGCGGGTGCGGCGATCTTTAAGTGGTTATACACCATGGTTAGGAGCTTGTTGGCGATTGCGGGGGTGACGTCGATGAGTCGCATACCGATAGTTCGATGCTTTCGTGCGTTGTATTCAGACATGAGATACGGTAGCAAATCGATCCATCTATAGTTTCCATTGTATGTAAACTGTTTCCACATGCTGTTTTTCAACGTACGGTTGAACCGCTCGACGACTGATGCCTTCATTACTGAATATGTAGAATAATGATTGATGTTATGTTTCTTTAAGAGATTCTGCACGTTGGCGTTATAAAATTCCTTTCTCCTATCAGTTTGTAAATTATTCGGGCATTTTCCATCGTGTCGAATTATCTCTGCAATCGCTTTAGTCACATTACTTCCACTCTTGGCTTTGAGAGGTACGGCCCATGCATGCTTACTCAGCACATCGATAACGGTGAGAATGTAGTGGTAACCTCTGTTGAATCGCATATAAGGACGCATCTCGACCACATCCGCCTGCCACAGGTCATCGTATCCGCAAACTATGACGCGTCTTTGTGGAAAATTTCTTCTCGCGGGAGCGTGCAGTTTCTCGATCAGCTGCTGCTTTTTGAGACTTTTTTTTTTCGACATGTTCGAGTCTTTTCTATTCAGCGCGATGATGCGTTTTTTGAATCGACTTTCAAAGCTCGTTAATCAGCATTTGCATATTATTTTGAAGCGCGGTAATCTTTCTCTCGATTTCATTCTGTCGATCTTTCAAAACTTGTATCGTCTGTTACACGAAACGTTTGTTGGCGACATCGCTATCATCTACCAGCAGCGCTACACGTCAAATCTTGCGTGACTTTGCGTCAAAGTCGGATGCAGCTACGCAAAGAGCGTTATCGCGCACGTAATTTCTGAGTAGTCCACTCAACTGGTAGTAGGAACTTGTTTCGCCTATACCGAGCGACGTCCCAAACTTGTTGATCGGCATTTCGATGTTGACTAAATGATTCGTACTGTGTCGTCTAATTTATAATAATACCCGCTTCGCGAAGTTCCTCGATAATCGACAGCATCTCGTTGTCGTGCGCATTGTGACCAGCTTGGCGCGAGGCCTCGAGCAATCGGAGGCGATCTACAAGCTCGTTGGGATCGTCCCAATGAATGTACTCAATCTTGCTATCATTTACTGTCATGGTGCGCGGTATACCTTTTCCAATTTTTTTACCGCTTTTCACATCTTCTGGCAACAGGGGCGCGATTATATTCTTATACTTGTGACCCTTGTTACCCATTATCTGACCCTGCGCGCTGCGATCGCGTCTGTACGCGTTTGTAGCTAATAGAATACTCTGATATTTCTGTAAGTCA